AATGAGATATCAGATATCAAACTTCATATATTGTTACTTAATAAATGTTTTTTTTTCTGTTTAGAATACAGTAGAGTTCGCTGGTAATTAATGTGATTATATTAAGTTCCTGAAATACATTGTCACTTAAAGGAATAGATACACTAAATTTTTGTCTGGAATATAATAACATTAAATTGTTTTTAATTCAATCTCATTTTACATTTAAAAAAGCCTAAACCAGTATCATAGTCATTATTATGTACTCATCATTTAATTCATAGTTCAATATTCATTAAATCCTCATGTAAGTGTCTATTCTGGACCAGTGAGATAGCTCAGTGGACTAAGCACCTGCTTAGGCAAGCACAGCGACTAGACTTTGATCCCCTGTACCACATGCCATGCCGGCCCTGCCCCTGGGCATGCTGATCTGAGCCACTGAGATATCTGTAGTCCCAGCACTGGAGAAGCTGAAAATAGGAGGACCCCTACAAGTTGGAGCCATGTAGTGAAACTCTATAACAATCAAATACTTTAAAAAAAAAAAGATGTCTATTCTTAGTCCAAATTTGCTTGATTGTACAGTTTGCCATCCCCAAAACACTCCTAAATATTGCAATAGGATAGAACCCCACAGTAACTGAGTAAAGCATGATAATTTTTATTTCTCTGTGCTAAAAAGTTAGGTTAATAAAAAAAGCTGTCACATCGCATTTTGTAACTTTTCATAACTCATTTCTTCTGTCTTGGTATTAAAGGCCAAAGGTTAAAACAGACTTTCTAAAAACAAGATTAGCAATTTATTTCTAGACCCTTCCAAAATAAACTCTTTTATAATGTGTTCAATTCTCCTCAGGGCCATAAATTCAACCAATCTCTAAAAGTACAAATATATTGCCTTGAAAACAGGGGGTGGTTTGTGTCATTTGATTTAAAGGTTATAAATATGCAGTGATGATATGAGTGGCGAGGACAGGTCTACTCACCATTTAGAAGCTTGTGTTTTGCCCCGTGGGTGTTTTTGTTTGGCTTTTTGTTCTGTGGTGTTTTCTGTTTTTGTCAGGAAAGGATTTGGCAGAGTGACATTAAATGTTTTCTTCAGAACAGAATGTCTTAAAAATGGGCTGAGCTGTAGATATTCAAATGAAAGAATAACATTTTAACTATATCATTCATAAAATTTGAAAAAGTATTTTATATAAATGAATAAAGAGTTCATTAATGTAAAGTAACTTTTTAATATCATTCAGTAATGCCTGATACATTTGTATTCCTGGAGTTAATTATTATAAATATACTGTAAAATGAAGACAAGTTATCAGTTACATACTTAGCTGTTTTTAAAATTCTTACCAAAATGTAACATATTTGAAAGAAACTAAAATCTTAGTAAAATTTATAACAAGGCTTATTGTTTTATAACAAGAAATATATGCATTTATATTTGTGAATATCAATGCTGTTTAATCTCAAAATGAAGTTTTCTATCAATTAAGATAGATACTGAATTCCACTCCTCACATTATGCAGTTGAGAACTGTTTGCTTTGCAGCTATCTCTACTCAAAGCTGTTGTAGTACTAGGGACAAGACAGTGTCCAATTCCACTTCTTC